AGCTCAGCGGCGCGCGGAGGCTACAAGTGCCAAGGTGGTGATCGGAGACTTCTCCTGCAGGGACAAGCGCGCGACGCTCCGGCCGCACTGGGTGGCGGAGGCACGAGGTGAGTAGCGAACAGTGAGGAGGGTAGGAGGCGCTGGGGCGAAGGAACGACCCCGGGAGCCTGGCGGAGCAGGGGAGCGCGTCCCTACCCCCTGCCCGCGGTGCCCGCCTAGCCTCAGGGTACTCGGCGGACGCACCCTGACTCCGGGAGCCTCGGGCAGGCGCAGAGTCCCCCCGGAATGGACGGATGGTCTGGCCGGTGCTTGCGGCGCGCCCTCACCGCACGGCGCGCGCAGGACGGATCCCGCGGTCGCCTCCCCCAGACCAGCTCGCCGGTGTCACTTAGTTCCAGTGCAGATATTAATGCTTTTAATCTATGGCAGACGGACGAGGAAAAGTGCTTTCCCCCTGTTTGAGGTGCAGTTTTATTAACTGCTCTCTTAAATAAACCAGACAGAAGAGAGGGAGGGGACGGAAGGAAAAAAGCCTTAGCCGGTCCCCTGGGATTATTTTCCACCAAGGATGGAAGCCTCGAATCACAGAGCTGCAAAGGAAGTAGAATGAGCTGCTAGTATTTCGCTGATGGAAGAAGAAGAGTCTGTCTTTAAAGAATAGACGTAGGAGAAGGGAATTAAGTGGAGATTTCTCTCCTTTTTTGTTATAAATTGGGAGTCCCATAAGGGACTCTGCCAATTTTATCCAAAGTAGCGTGATGCGTTCTTTGTGCCAAAGGTAAATCAGAGCGCCTAATGTCTGAGGGACCTGTGAGATTTCTCACTTCAGTAATTGATCAAACCTGGTACCCTGGCTCCATTCATCGAGGGATCCTGCAATGGGGGTCTGTCCACTTGCTAAGGGAAAGCTCTGGTTCAGATGTGGTTTCCCTGCACGTGTGTGTGTGTGTGTGTGTGTGTTTTCTGTGTTAGCTGCAGAGAAACTTCAATAGGAGGAAAAGTGTTAAAAAAAAAAAAAACCTAATGTAGAGCAGAAAACGTAGATTCTGTTTTCCTTACTTTAAGGGAGTTGCCAAGTTGACTGTAAGGTGAGCCTTTACCTGTGCTTCTGTGTGGGTTACCAGCTGTTGGAGCTGTGGATTTCGAATTATAACAAACCCCCAAGCCATGGGTTAAATCAAGTATTATTGTGGACTTGGAGGCAAAATAAAAGAGCCCTTGTTTGAAACCTCCATTCTTGGTGATAGTGGAAAGTGAATTTTTGTTCCTCGGAAAGATGTAAGAGGCAGAGAAAGATGGGCAGATGCCTTTCTGCTCAACTTAAAATTCTGCCCGAGAAAGGTTCTTTTCTGTGGTCGGAGTGAAGAAGTGTCATGGATACAGAGTTCCAGAGGTAACTTTGGAATAGCTTCTCACCTATTTGCCTTAACAGAACTGTGACTCTGGGTTTATAATTTGTCTTTTATTGTCTATTTCTCGATGGGGTTTGTAAAAACTTCTGGATGGCCAATTTCCTGTGCACATGTGTTAGCAAAGCATACAGAGGGTGAGGGACTCAGACTTCCACCCAGTTAACAGGAGAAGCCAACCTGTACCTGGAGTAGAGAGAGGTGTGTGTATGTGTGTGTGTGTGTGTGTGTGTGTGTGTGTGTGTGTGTGTGCAGGAGTGGGCTGGCCTGTAGTATTTGCAGGGATCATACGATAAGGTGTGCTTTTTGCATACTTCCAGGCCAGAACATGCTGCCGTCATGTAGCAACAAGGGGATGGACTAAGAATGGAAGCACAATGAACAAACATGGGGTCTTGTAAATACAGGGCTGTGTGACTGGGGTCATTGAATGTATGCAGTGTAAGTTTAGAGAGGTGGTTGATAAAGCCTGTCATCTTTCACCCATTTCTAAGCTACCCAGTCAAAATGCTGAGCCTCAACTCCAATAGAGCCGAATGGATAGTGACATATTCATTCACCCATGGTGATGCTCTAAAGCTAATCTGTATTAGAATTGTTCTAAAGAGAGTGTAAACACTTATAATTTAACCAAATTTTTGAGGAGGCTGTGCTTCCCCAGGTTCTCCAGAAAATCAGCAGCTCTGCTAAAAAGGTCCCTGCCTTTCTCATTTGTGTCTCTATACAGGAAACCTGCCTTCTCATTGAGGGATCCTGTCATAGGAATGTGTGAGTCCTTGGATAAATTTGGCTTGGTGACGGCAATGCTTTCTTCAGAGACACTGCCACTTCCTCCGTGCTTCTTCTCTGCCCTGACCTAAGTTTCCCAGTGTAACTCCCTGTGATAAGTCAGAGAATTTGCTCTTTTCACACTTTCCTGACCCTAGGTAGCCTCTCCTTTCCTTCACCCCTTTTAGGGAAAACTGTGGCTGAAGTGTCAACAACTGTGGCTGCAAAGAAGATGGGGCCCTCAGAAGCAGCACTCCTGGTGCTTCAGTGTTAACTCTTTGGGCTCTTTTCTAAATTGCTGTTGGCAGAATTTCTGAAAGCTGCAGGGGGATGTCTGACCAGCTATGATGGAGCTCCACTACCTTGCTGACAATAGCAGCCAGGTAGCCCTGTGCAGTGCTGGGGACTGGGGTTCAGAAGGGCCTCCCACTGACCAGGCAAATGCAGCAGCCACCAGAGCTGCTCTCTGCTGCCAGAGACACTGTACATCCACACAGAGAGCAGCCCAGATGGAAGGGTCTACACTTAGCCCTTCTCCAGCATCCCCCTCCTCCTCTCTGCAAGACAGTGTTATTCAGCCAGACTCCTTCCCACCAGGACATCTCCGCTCAGGGAACAACCAAATAACAGCAGAACGGAAAGTCTGCAATTGCTGCAGCCAGGAATTAGAAACTTCTTTTACCTACGTGGATGAGAATGTTAACTTAGAACAGCGGGACCTGAGCTCACCTTCAGTAAAAGGGAGTAATCACCTGGTAGACCTTGGCTGGGGGAATCCAAATGAGTGGGCCCACGAAGCTGCTATATCTTTGATATCCGAAGACGAAGATGATACCAGTTCGGAAGCCACGTCTGCAGGGAAGTCAGTGGACTATGGTTTCATCAGCGCCATCTTGTTCTTGGTCACTGGCATCTTGCTGGTGATCATCTCTTACATCGTCCCACGGGAGGTGACTGTGGACCCCAGCACTGTGGCAGCCCGGGAGATGGAACGCCTGGAGAAGGAGGCCGCGAGGCTGGGGGCGCATCTAGACCGGTGTGTGATTGCCGGGCTCTGCCTGCTTACGCTTGGGGGGGTCGTTCTGTCCTGTTTACTAATGATGTCTATGTGGAAGGGGGAGCTGTACCGTCGCAACAGGTTTGCCTCTTCCAAAGAGTCTGCAAAACTCTACGGTTCTTTCAACTTTAGGATGAAGACCAACACTAACGAGAACACCCTGGAACTGTCCTTTGTAGAGGAAGATGCTCTCACTGTACAGAGTTAATTCTGGCTGTGAACTTCTTGAGAGTCTGCCTTGGCATTTTATATGAAAACAAACAAACAAAAACAAACCGCGTTTCTTAAAATTAACAGTGCAGTTTGTTTGCCTCAAAAGAAAAGTTTATTTCTCAAATCAACAGCCTGTGAGTGTCTTTGTTCTCCATGTATTTTTTTATTTAGAAGAAAAGTAAGATGTAAGATGCATTAAGAACCTACAATCAGCTACACCTGTCCTTCTTAAGAGCTGAGTGAGACTAATTAATCTGTAATGGCCATCAGCTTCTACTTCTATAGCAAAAACATTTTTAACGATCTAGTGTACAGATGATTTCTTTTACAAGACATGGGATATTATTCTTTGGACACTAGGTGGTTCCACACACAGATCAATTATAGTCATCTATTTTGTGAAAAAGAACTTAAGCTCTAATTAGATAATAAGGCTTATACTTAATTCTTAAAGGTTCTTATCCATTTTCTAGCTATATTTTTTCTTCTTATAATTTGGATAAACATTAAAATATAGTGTTTTAAGTTTGAATATTTTGAAACTTGAGGATGTTGGTTATTTTTCTTAATTATAAAATTGCATATATTATATTTAAAATTGTTCCTATACTCGGAAGTGGTAACTAATTCATTAGAATAAACTTTCTAGTGAAAGAAAATTATATCAATCATTATAAGACCAATCTGAATTTAACCCAAAATGGTAGTGCCAGATATTAGCCAGTGTCGCATGCCCATTTTCTAGATGAAGTAAAATTAGTTTCTGATATAAATTTCATTTTCTGTTTGTGGTTTAGCCATCACAGAGGTTCTCCATGCTCTTTTAGTCTTTGCTGGTTCTCACACCAGAGAGACAAAGCATAAAACATTATTAATATATCTGCAGACATCTAAATATCTAGGCAGGCCTGAGTCACGGCTGGCTCCAGCATACTACCAGGTGACGTTTTGTTGTTGTTTGGAGAAAACTTCCAATACAAGTTAGACTTGGGGACTGTGCCTCGAAGCCAGTATCGCTTGCTCTAGACCAGGCAATAAGACATTGCCCTAGGATGGCAGCAGTCCTTAAGCTCATATTCAAAAAAATTAAAATGGGGAAGAGGGAGAGGGAGAGAGAGAGAGAGAGAGAGAGAGAGAGAGAGAGAGAGAAGGAGGGGGAGAGAGAGAGAGAGGGAGAGAGAGAGAGAGAAACAGAGAGACAGAGAGACAGAGAGAGAGAGACAGACAGACAGAGAGACAGAGAGAGAGACTGACTTGGTGGGAACTTTACTTATCGCAATGGTCCAGGCATCATTCTGAGCTCCTTATAACCAGGATCTTAGTAACTGTGAGCTCTTGCTTCATGAGGTTCAAACTCTTGTCCTATGAGAGGCATGATGGGTAATGTGGTCACAACTGTGCAAAACAAACACTCAGTGCCAACACTAACATACCGTCTCCATATGGTAACAGCTCAGGAAGGGGGGTGGGGATGCAGCTTGCATTTTGCAACTACTGCTTGAGGGGTTTCCAGCCTCATGTTTTAACTTCCACTACCGTGTTAGCACCATCAGTGGGGTCAGACTTAAAGGGGCCTGGGGCTGGGAACTGGGGTGAGAAGGCAGTGTGGGGAAGTAAGAAATTGATTTCTTTGTAGATTCTAAAGCCTAATTCTAATGTCCAAAGTTTTTCTTGTAATTGAGGACTGTGAAATATGTGGGTGACTTAGGCTGGCAGAATGTGTGAGTCAGGATCTCTATGTGAATGAGCTCTTGTGGGTGTCAGGTCTATTTGATGAGTTAGGTACATGCAGTGTGTTATTCAAGGTTAAGGGGAAACGAAAGGAAGGATCAGAGGCTAGTAAAAATAGGATGAGTATATGAAAAAACTATTAGGTAAAAATGAGAAATTATATGGACATCAGAGGAAGCTAGACGGAGATCAGCTACCCTACAGAATAGACTGTTTTTGATTCAGAAAGAATTGGGACAATATACACATGATTTCTGTTTGCTGTTTGTACTTTTTGTTTTACTGTGACTCTCATGTCATTTTGTGATCTGTGTTGATGCCAGTTTACCAGCAGTATCAGCAGTTCTGAAAGTTTATAAATTGTCAGGTTCTAGCCTGCCTGAGGACTCTCTTTGGATGATGTCGAGGCAGAGTATGATCTGCTTGGCTGAACGAGTAGGTCTGAGGGGTGTGTGCGCATGTGTGTGTTAATACATTTTAAAAATATATGTTTATTCATAGAAGCTAAGTGGGAGCAGCTGAGTTTTGTTTTTATTTATTGATGAAACAAGATTAATTAGTTAAATCATAGACTACACTGAATTAATCGTGTGGTCCAATTTTCAGCTTCTTTTCAGACAAATTTGAGAATCAAGTGTTAGGAAGTTTTTTCAATTCCGTAAAACTAATGACAAAGGAGAAAAAGCTAAAAGATTTTAGCTTTTCATTTGGAAGCATTTAATAAATCTTGCAGTGCTACCAAATGATACACAGATTTGATGTGCTCTAAAAGATAGATATAGATAGAGACATATTAGGAAAAGAAAATGGGGGGATTTAACAAGTCGGAATATACTTTTTTCCTCCTTTAAAATTTTAAAAATGAAATGTAGTACGTAAATGCTTATTTCAACATTATCTAAATTTGTTCATTTACGGGCATATTTCTTTTAAGGTTCTAATCATATGAGGTCAGACCATTACACCAAAGGAACCCGATTCAGAATACCGTTTGGATGCCTCCCTAGTGCCGTGTTGACATAATCAGATAACTGCCTGAATTGGCTTTTCTGTAGGTATTTGGTTGTGTCGCCCCAGTCCATCCCATCAGTGCCTGAATTCAAGATGAAGATTACTTGAATTTAAAGTGATGGTAATGTGGGCAATGAAAAACCCTGAACTTTAGACACTGTTGTTTCCAATCTGAAAAAGAGGGTTTTGGAGAGGCTCTAATATTTAGAAGTACTTTGGCAAGAGCAGGTGATAAATGTTATAGATACTGAACAGACGATAGCTATGGTATGGGTCCTGAATCCTTCGTGGAGTTTTATGACCTTACATCTCCCTCTTCAACATGGTGCTGTTTGTTATCAATGCGAGTTTTTATTGCTAGACCTGGAAAGGCAGGACTCTTTTTTCAAAGGTTCATAGTTTAAGTTTTTAACTTATTTACCAGGGTTTAGAAAACTAAACTCAGTCACCTTCCTAATGTTGAGAGAAGGCAGCTCATTGTTCAATAATGTGGCCCAAAAGGGTAAGTACTAGAAAGAGAGCTGCCTTTCTCCATTACTTCTGGGATCTACGTGCTGCTAAGGGACAGTTTAATCCTCTTACTGACTTTGATAGAACTGTTCCTCTTTAGGGCACCTTAAACTGTCTGTGGAAGAGCTGAAGTGTTTTCTTTACAGTGCTTCCCTTTCCAGCCACTGGGAGCTCCTGAAGCAGCCCGTGTAATACGACATACCCCCTCGTAAGAAGAAAGTCTCTCCAGGCTCTCCACTTCACAGCTGACGTGGTTCAGAGGAGGACAGGACTGCTTGGAACCACGAAGTTCTCGATGGCTATGGGTGCTTTTACCCACATGACTGCTATGCCCCTTGATTCTGTATTACCTAGATTCTGCCTTGATATCAATATCACATGCTTTGCTCTCTCTTTATAATATCTGAGTCCATCCCTTTCATACTTATTTGTTTTAGGGACCCAGTTGGACCAGTGCTGGCACATGTCCTTCGAGGTGCAAATTTAAACAGAGACTGCCCTTCCAAGCCCATTTGCTCCATTCCTTTGCTTCTGGGTGTAGAGATAGGTGAGTGAGTGAGCACTGTGCCAGTTGAATATCAGGAATTAAGGGTCTGAATCCAAGTGACTCTACATGTTGTTGCTTCTTTGTGACAGGCAAAACTTCTAAGCAAGAGCACTTGGACAATTCAGTCTTTATCTTTCACATGTGTAGTGACAGCCACATGCAAAAGCTTACCTGGATAAATCATCTAAAGTTAAAAAAAAAATGTTTTATATATCTATCAGGAGAAGGTTTTTCAATATGAAGGTCAGATTCCATTGCATCAATTCCTGCTACCACAAAAATGTGGTCTGACAAGAGATTCACAACCATCACCAAAGGTTCACGTATTCAGTAAGATTTAATACCACTATCAAGATTCCATGGTGACAAAAAAATAAGACAGAACCTTACCATTCTATGACATGGGGTTTAACCTTGCCCGGAACTGGACATAAAGAATAATTATAATGAGAAGAATTATAATGAAGTCTCGCTGGCTTTTTCTAGTTTAAAAATGTTCGTAAGAAAGAAAATTAATACACTGCTGTCTTTCAGCTGATTTTCAGCTGTATCATTTTATGGTTCATAGAACTCTATAATATTCTCTCTTTCCATCTTTTATGGGCATAATTTGCCTGACTCGTGCACTGACACTGTAAAAAGATACTGTTTTAAAAATGGATTTCAAAAATCCATGGCTTACACTTAAGAGAGTACCTGTGATTTATGTTTGTTAGAATGCAATTTTATGTACACTCAAGTTTATATATGTCTTAGGAGAATATTTTATAATTACAGAATTGTAACATCCAAAGCTATTGTTAAAATAATTTTCTTATAGAAACGTGGCATGCCTTAATGTTGTCTTTAAGGACAAGAGAAATGTTTCACAGGCCATGAATGAAGAATTTGAAATCAACTTCAGAATAAGATGCCATAATCATATAGATCTGTTTTAGTCGTTCAGCATCCCACAAATGTTTGATTATTTTTTAACCTCTCAATTTTAGGCTCATAAAAATGTGGCATATTTAGAAGTTGTTTTACCATAAATTACTATTTTATTTCAGAGAAATATGGGCAGCAGACTTGTTGTTGTTGTTGTTTGTTTGTTGTTGTTGTTTTTTTTTTTTTTTGCTTCAAGTTTAGTAACTCTCCTGTGTTTCAAGAACAAGCAGCCTTGTTTCCCCACTGCCATCATCACCCCTCCTAACCATGCTCTGAACACACCATGCAAGAAAGTGAAGATGGGTTGTTACTATACAGCATATTGAGAATTTTTACTTTGTGGTTTTCATTATGCTTTTAATCTTACTTTTCTTGCCAACCAAGAAAAATATTTTGATGTCTATTATGTGTTATTTGATATTGTAAAAGGGCAGTTATTAAGGCTATGGGCTTTTTCTTAGGGCATTTGATGCCTTATATGTTAATAGCAAGTGTGTCATATCATTTTAAAATAAAACTATTCAGATATTTTATTGTTTTTGTTAACATTTATTTAAATCTGAATCTGTGATGCTCATTTGGTCTTTTAAAATTATATTTGTTTCCCAAAACATAAATTATGTTTCCCAAAAAAGTAAAAGTAATATTTACCCCCGATTCAAGTATAACATTCTTCTTGCTCCCTATCATTGAATAATGTAAACTAGGCCTTAGTCTTTTTACTTTATATGAAATGTCAAAGCTATTTGTATTTCTCTAAATTACTCAGTATTGAACTTAGACTGTGAATTGCACAATGTGGAAAAAGATACATAAATAGATAATTTTTAAAACATCTAAAAATCTAGAAAACTTTTAGGTGAGAGACAAATATCGAATTAGTTTATGCCCCTGCTCTTAATATTCTCTTAATCTAATTTTGATCTCCATTTTCATTTGAGGGATGTATCATAATCTATATTATTAAGTGAAATTGTATCCTTATTATGTCTTGGTGTCGTCAAGGATGAGAATTATAAAGGGACGATTGGAAGTGAGGCCCCATATATTGCTCCACTTATCTAAAACAAAAATTGGATCAGGATTCTTACCTACTATAAAGAAATAAATCTAGTTTTTTTAATATATTTTTTTCTGGACTTCTTTCTTTTAAACACCTCCGATCACTCAGCATGAGCTACATAATGTTGCTACAATTCCAGTCTCTTGCTGCTTGACCTTATAGGTCGGAAACCCAGTCTGATGCAATTACCTTTTTAAATGTTGCTGGTTGTCAAGCTAGAGCGTTAAAGAGTGTGAAAAGTCTGGAACAGGCTCTGCATCTCCTCACTACTTGTTAGTCAAGACTAATTATACAGTCCCACTCAAGCCAGGAAACGCAATTCCATCATGTGCCCTGAAGTGAGGAGACTTAGGGCCGTTTGGCAGGTAACACCAACGGCTGCCATAATTTCTAAGGTCTTTGTGCTGTTAAAACATGTTATGTATCAACAAACATAAAAATTCTTTCATTCTTTAATGACCACATAGTCAATTTATTTTTAACACTGAGGGGGAAAAACACAGTATTCTGAAAACTCTCCAGAAAAAGCACAGTTTAGTAGTTCTTTACTAAAAATACTTAAATAAGGAAATGATTGCAATGTTCCTTATGATAACCTGTATGGTTTCATTGTATTATTTTATCATAGAAATTAGGAGATTAAAATGAGCCAATACTAATGCTTTTAGCTCATGGGCAAGAGGAAGTACTTTAAGTCCTTCCTGTGTATTATTAAATCTGTACCTTATTATTTGTACCTTACTCATTTAGTTCTCACAACATTCCTGGAAGACAAATACTATTACCTGCATTTTTAAAATGAAAAACTAAAGCTCAATATTAGATGATTAGCCAGTTACATAACTAATAAGCAGTGGATAAAGAAATAAAACCTAGGACTAGTTAGCCAGGACTAGTTACATAGTCCCACTAAAAACTCATATTTATTCCAGGTTAGAAGGAATATTACCCTTCTTGCAAAAAAAAGTCGATTTACACTAGCTATTTTGTATTTATCATTTTTTTAAAAAATGTAATAGTCATAAGAGTTGAGAGATAAGAAACTATAAAGAAATCACACCAAAACTTTGGTTTTGGATAATATAGCCATTTCTCAAAATATAAAACCAAATTAAACCTATCAAAACTCACAGCTGTCCTACTCACTGCCCCCACTTCTCTAAGGTTCAGATAAGCCTATGCTGACACTTTTCCTTGGAACTGAAGAGAAAATGTAGTTATTCTTCCTACGTCCACAATAGTTCTCATAGGATGTATGTAGTTTCCAGAAGGGACCCAAAGGATAGAACGAAAGTCATATTTAAGTGCTTACTTTATGCCAGGCATTCTGCTTTCATGCACAGTGCCTTGTTTAATCTTCTCAACACCTGGTATAATAAGGGCTTCAGAACCAGGAAAACAAAGGACTTGGAGTTGGAATGTCTACTCTTCTACTCTGGTCAAGTCATCTGAGCAAGAGTTTCTCCATTTATAAAATAGGGATAATATTGTTTGCTTTTCAGTACTGTGATGACGATAAATGAAACAAAGGATAAAAGGGAATCCTGTCCGGTATTCTATCATTAGGTCCACCATTATCTTAAGTGGGTTGCTTTGTAACAGCAGCACTTCTTTGGGGCTATTCCTGTTGATTAAGTACCACTGGCCGACAGATAACTGAATTGGGCCATCATCATGATCATAAATAATCTCCTTCTCCTCCTCCTCTTCTTTCTCCCTCTCTTTTTCCTTCTCTCCTTCTCTTACTCCTTACCTTCCCTCTCCTCTTTCTTTTCTCTCTTCCTCTTCTTCTAACATCATTGTCATCACCATCATCACTTATGTGAAAACCATTCATTTGGAAGTCTTTTATTTATACCACGGTAGATGTGTCTAAGAAAGAAAATTAAATTCCCCTTCATGAGACAGAAAGTCAATCTGGAAAACTATATTGCTTAATTGCAAGGTACAATGTGCTAATATCTTATACCATAATCCTTCAGACCTCGAATAGCCATAGCTCCAATCATTGCACGCTATGTGACAGAAAATTATCTTTTCAATAGAAGATTTTTTACCATAGAAATGTTCAACAAAATCCTTTTATTTTGTTGAAAATCTTTTTTTTCTTTTCTTTTCTTTTTTTACATTCTTAGTGTTAAACTGAAAAGATTCTACTCAGTGAGCCCTGCTGTCTATCCAGATCACAGAGTTTATGCACCTATATTGAATTTATCTTTGAATTTTATTTAACCTTGCTCACATTCTGCCAAATTAGCAAAATTAACTGCTCTGGAATACAGATGACATTAAGGACAATTACTAAAATTGAACTTATTTTCCCTTGATACTTAAAAGGTGCAGTCAGCAATGCCCCCTGCTGCTGAGCGGATCCACAGCAGGGAAGCCAGAGGCACCAGAGAAGGAAGAAGACAAAGCCAGGACCTGCTCTAACCCGCACCTTACATAAATGATGAGCTTGGGAAAGAATTCAACAGTTGAAAATAGAATAAAAGGGGATTGTGAGAGACTGATGCTAGGTCCGAACAGTAATAGATGAGGCTGAGAGAGACTTTGAGAGACAAAGGTTCATTAACGAAACAGTCTTATGTCAAAGATCCCATTAGGGGCATAGCTGTTTTGAATAATCTTACAGGAGCCATCACTAAGCTGAGAAAGAGAAGACAGAAGTCAAGAAGCAAAGAAACAATTCAGGATGGAGGCAGGAAATTTTTGAGTATGGTTATTGGCTCATGAAACTGATGAAAGCAAGTAGCACAGAAGCCTAAGTTTCTAACGTAATTTCATTGCCAAAGATGCCTTTGACTCTCTGAGCCTTTAAAACGATACTTGGCCCCCAAAACTTGTACTAGTAGGAAGCAGGCCTGAAATTTGTACAGGCCCCAAGGAAGGCATACTCCTGAATATTCATTTTAGATGTGGCTGTGGAGAATAAAAGACAAGGAAGAAACTCTTAGAGGCTTGAACAGGGGCCTAGGGGAACAGTGAACAAACCAGTTTATTCTAGAAAGCAGAATAGAGCCTAGTCAAGGAATTTACCCCAACCCCGGAACAGAAGGCCTGTCTGACAGTTTCAGCATTTCTGTGGATCAATGATGTAATGTAGTTTTCACGTTCCTGTTTCATCATTTTATATAATATCTGAGGTATAACTTGTCTCCTTTATTTACAGTTTTTCAGATCACGAAGAGACATTCAGATCTTGTGAAGCAGACCGCACAGCCTGGAGGTCTTGGACTTGGAGCTGGAGGCAATATGTGGATGTATCTTTGAATCACCCTCCTTGGGCTTTGAGTATGCTCTTGTGAGAAAGGACATCCCACAACAGATCCACCAAAGATCATGCCCCGTTTCCTCTGTGTAGAGTCGTTGCTAGAAAGCAGTGGCCCAAATAGGGACTACGTTTCCCAGCTCTCTTTTCATTTAGGGGTGGGGGAGGGGCAAATGACTGATTCATAGAAATGGAATGAGAGCAGAGTGATGTGTGTCACTTCTTGGCTGAAGTAATTAAGAAACCTACATACCTTTATTCACTTTCCTCCCCAGTCTGGTAGGTGGACGAAGCTGTTGGTTAATTTTATGTGTCAGCTTGACTGGGCTAAGTGATGCCCATATAGTTGGTACAACATTGCTTCTGGATGTGTCTATAAGGATGTTTCTAGGAAAGATTAGCTTTTGAATGGGGAGACTGAATAAAGAAGCTCACCCTCACCAATGTCAATGGGCATCTTCTCATATGTTGAGGGCCTCAGTAAAACCAAAGGGCAGAGGAGGGTAGAGGAGGAGTGAATTTGCTCTCTACTTAAGCTGAGACATCCCTTTTCTCCTGACCCCTAACATTGGCACTCCTGCTTCTTGGACCTTTGGACTCAGACTGGGACTTACGGCATTGGCTACCCTGTTTCTCAGGTCTTTGGGTTTAGACTGGAACTACACCACCATATTTTCTGGGCCTTTAGTTTATAGTTGACAGATCATGGGACTTCTTGGCTCTGTTTCTCTGGGAACACTAATTCATGCACATTGAAGATGTCAAATTCTACACTGGCCTAGCTTGGAGAGCTTTCTGCTCTACAGTTAGTCAGGAACCTAGGCTGATAGAGGCTCTGTAATCTTCGTGTGGCATCACCCTGGTTGTCAGTATTTAGGAGAGATAGCATGGAGGTTTTTCCCATCAGTTGGTTAGCAGTCAATGTTATTTCCACATTTAACTGCAAGGGAGGCTGGGAAATGTAGTCTAGCAATATATCCAGGAAAATAAATAGGTTTGACGAACAGCTAACTAGTCTCTGCCAAAATGTATGACCTGGTCGTAGTCAATTTTCTGTTCAAAATATGCTTTTTCTAATTATTTTCTTCATTTCCGCTTACTAAAATTTTCCTCTCATTAACCATGAGTATATGGCTTTTTTTTCTCAAGTGAATTAGGTTAAGTATGGCATGGTAAAATCTCAAT